GTGTGGTGTCCACGGAGAGCCGTATCGTCCAATGACGTCGAAGAAGTGCACTCTCGGAAGAAGGTCCAAGTCTATTCGTGCCAGAAGGAAATCGACATTCAGTGGCGTCAGGGCATTGAAGACTTGTGGTGTCGATTGACGCCGAAGAGCAATGGTGGTAGAGGAACATCGGATAGTGGCGGCCCGAGTTGTGGGGTAATTCACCTTAAAATGACACAATTCGCTTCACGTCAGAGAACAATTCCCAAGTCAATATGCACTATTGAAAGCGACATTATGGCCAACTCACTGTGAAAGAAGACGATTCCTATGCATTGTTCTGTACGTTGAGGCCAAAACCTGACATCGCAAAGCCGTGGCCTCATCACAGACTCGAGCCGATTAGAAGGGCGACCACCTGTAAGAGATTTCTTCTTTTGACTACATTACTTAGAGATTGCAAATCCCATATTAAGTATAGAGTGCCTTACCCTTTGAAATAATGCCACCAATCTTCCTCAAGGAGACTGCCATCAACCAACAAGAAAATGCAGTCGGCGGTGGCATTGGCGAGCTGAAGATTAACAGTTTTATAGAGAGAGAAGAGAACTTTTACGGAGAAACTACTTCCTTACCTTGACCGTTTTGTGGCGATCTTGGTCCCGTAAACTCGCAATTTTCCGTCGCTTGCCCATATGGCCCGGGAAAACGGGACCGAAATACTTTGCCAAATGGGCAGCGTGCGACGGGTTGCGCTTCGGAGGGCTTGCCGACCTAAACCACTATTAATGAGAAAAAGGATACGGTATATAACGCTATTGAGCGAGAAGACGTACCCGTGATCCCCACAGGATCTCTGTCTCCTGGAATCGGCTGCACCCTCCGGAATTGTCGCTGCTAGAGCGAACTGAAATGCGATGGTTGTTATCACTCTTAAAAAGAAGAGTTTTTGGTAAGACGAACCCTTGATCCCGATTGGGACCGACCGCATTATGCTTTCCGAACACAATCCTCTGTATCGACCGCGATGTTATCGACTGCCATCATGCTCGTTTGTGGCCCATTGTTGTAGGGTTGGACTTGGTTTCGACACATCTCTGCAGGAGATTCTGAAAGAACAACAACAACAACAAAGACCGATCGAATCCAATGAGTACAAAGAAAAATTTGCGAATCGGTGCCGGTAGCCGGTAAGCTCAAGATTCCTTCCTCACTTGTAGTCTGGTCAG